TGTCAGAGCACAAAATGCAGTCCATGTGCTCATGACTTTATTACATGTTATCCATCAGCATACTGCAGGCACTTCTCAGGCATTTAATTCTATTGGGAGTTTTTTCTGATACAAATTACCTTCATTAACTGTAATTTTTTATACATTATCTACAGGATTAGCTAGTTTTGGAACTCTTGACTAATACCTTTTTCAGAGATCATAATTCTGTCCATTTCTGCTCTCTCCATCTTATGCTTTGCTAATAATGAATCACTACAATGGCTGTTTCTTATTCTTGCCCAAATGAAGCCATAATTGGTAAGCAATAATTTAGAATTTACTTCCAATACTGAGAAATAATCATCTGGTGAAATGTAAACTAAATTTTGGTTTATTTTTTTGCAAGTAGTATGCAAGTGAAACATTTTTTATTTAAAAGTTAATTTTTATAGATTTCTTGTAAAACAGATTTATATTATAAAATTTCATCTTTTTTAGTGGAGTGGGAAGTATCCAGAAAAGTTCATTAATGAATCTTGAAAATTTTGATCATGAGCTACTTACAGTGTCCTTTTTGCATACTTCAATGATACTGAATACCTCTTTAAGACAGGAGATGAGTAATGCTGTATCTAGTGAAACTCTAGGAAGAATTAAATGCAATCATCATTAGCAAAAATTCTAAAAACAGCTTGTTCTTACTCAGTACTTTGGCTTCCTTGCTATCTTAATTCTGTATGTTGCTTCTTTATATAAGATGTGCTACTCTTAGTATTGCAAATCTGTAGCCAAGTATGAACAAATGACCTGGATTCTGAGTTTCTTATACACTGTGAACTGGATTTTAGTCTCAATTTTAGTAACAGTAAATCTGTAAAATAAAATGATAAATATGATGTAAATTTCAATTTTTGATTGGATTGATGAAAGACTTTAGAATGTTTACTGACCTTTTATCTATAATTTCTATTACTTATACAGTTACCATTAATTTTATATTGTCTTGTTAAAATATAATACACTGATTTTGTGTCCTGTTCTCTAAATCTAAGCTGTATAACGTGATTTTTTAAATGCATAAAATATAAATATTTTAGGAATGATTCCTTTTGGCAGAAAACATCATAATAACATTTAGAACAATCAATGAGTTTTGGTGTTCCCTTGGCAAATTATTATTTTTTCTTCAGGTTTCCAGTTACAAAATAATAATAAATATCTTACTAAAATGCTGAGTATTTAAAATGACAAATAATTATTTAGAACGAGACTAAAAGTGGAAGAAAATTTAGAATTATTGATAGCTAAGTATTGTATATTTATATTTCCCTATTAGGTCCAGCTGAAAGTACAGAAATATTAAATAATTAATCTAATTAATGAACATACATCTAAAATCCCTTAGCAAAGAATAGAAAACTGAATCTACCAAGGATAAAAGTACTATGTGTGATGGTTATCTCAATGGGTTATTGCAGGAATGGAAAGATGTTTAAATATGAGAATATCATTAATGTGATCCATGCCATTTAAAGATTAAAAAAAAATCAACAGTTGAATATGCATTTAAAATGCATTCAATAAGGCTCATTATTCATTCATGACAACAATCATCAGCAAACTAGGAAAATAAGCACTTTAATCGTGATTGAACTATGTGTTGAAGCCTTGTTTCAATCAGGAAAGTTTGGGCTAAAATCACAAATAACCCCCAAATCTCAAAAGCTGAATTTATAGCAAAAAGATTATTTTTTGTTCATACTACAAGTCCCAGGGTACAGCAAGAGGCTCTGCTTATTCTAGTAACTTGGAGAACCAGGACAGTATATTTTTCCATAATCAACAGAGCAATGAGAGAGGAACATTGTGACTGGTACATTAATTTTAAAACTTTCTTTTAAGATAACAATGTCAATTCTGCTCATGTCACTGGCTAAATCAAGTTATATGACTAATCTAATAAAAGGAGTGGTGAAATGAAATTCTACTATATGTCACGAAGGAAAACTATATAACATTTGGAAACAATCCAAATGACTGTAATAAGAAATATATATATATTTGATCTTTGATGTTGGTTCCTGTTACAGAGCTCCTAAAGCCCTTGGAATTTCCTGAGTGACAAATGAGAGGAGCATTTTTTGGTTATTTATAACAATCTCGTTTAAGCTTTCCCTGAGTTGGTTGACTCTAGTAAGAGTTACCTGAAGTCACTCTTGGTGGGCCTCATACGTATGGGGACTGGTTACCAAAAATCCGACCAGTGATTAAAGGGTTGGGATTTTCACTACCAATGGCCAATAATTTAATCAAATGTGCTGGCTGAACAGAGCCTCCTTAATAATCCCCAAACAACAGGATTCAGAGAACTTTTGGATTTACAAATGCATTAAGATGCTGGAAGGAAGGAATGCCCATGGAGAGTTTGGAATTTTTGTACCCTACTCCCTCTTAACTTTCCCTGTGTATCGCTTCCATTTGCCTGTTTCTGAGTTGTATCCTTTATAATAAACCAGTAATAGTATGTAAAGCACTTTCTTACCTGACTTGTGGGAGTTGTTTTAGCCATTACTGAGCCTGGGAATAGTCATGGAAACCCCCAATTTATAGTTGGTTTATCAGAATTATGGGTAGCCTGGGCACCCTATTGCACCTGGCATCTGAAATGGGGGCAGTCTTGTGTACTGAACCCATAACCTGTGGAGCCAAATACTAACTACATGCATTAGTGTCAGAACTGAATTCTGTAGTTGGTTGCAAACCCAGTCAGAGAATCTGAAACTCTCACATCCCACTCCCATAAAAATTAAAGGTTTAAGAGATGATTATTATATATACCAGAGAATCATTGCATTAATTATTAATTTAGTAATGTTATATTAATAAATTATTTACTAATACATTATTTATTAATATATTGATAATTATTGATGTTATAATTTTATTTCTATTATATAATTTTAATAGCAATGTGTTTGATAAATTAAGTTGGGGAACTTTTACTCTTCTTCTCATCTCAATCAATTAGTATTGAGTTCCTTAAAGGTTAGACAGAAGTTGTCTCTAATGCTTCTAGACTTGGTACTTTTTGGTGGATGAATTTTTTTTAATTGACATGATTTTGCTACTAAAATCATATTTTACATCTGTTACATTTGTATGTATGTATTTTTCCCATGATGTGGTTCTATAATATAATTATAGTTAAAATTACAGTTAATAAAGTGTTGCTAATATTGGGAAAATACCTATAACATTAGACTTATAACACAGGATTCCAGTGACATCTGTAGTATGACTTGCTAATATTTTTAAAACTAATGGAGAGAGAGGAAGAAGGAAAGTATCCTCCAAGGATATCCTCTGCTGCTGGGTACCCCAAGGCTTTTTTACTGATATTGAATGAATTATTAAATGTCTTTCTCGGTTTGGGATTTCCTCACCACAAAGGGTGTTTTAAAGTCAGACTACATTCATGTCCATGCCTTGAGTTGAGGGTTTTGATTTTTCTCACAGTAGGCTTTTCCGCAACCCAGAACCTGCCCAAAGGCAAACTTTTTTGCTTCCTGCATCAGTGAGTAGAGGTTTCTGGTATCTCTTTCAAAGAGGGGGGCAGTTATTTCACAGTCTGTCTTTATGCAGGAGTCTCAGTTCTAGCTTCTCGTTGTATGTAAACCCAAGACCACATCTGCCATTCCCATATAGATGTTACAATCCATAATTTTACACACACACACACAGAGATATGATTATTATATATATTTAGGCCAGATCGCCTCTTTCCCCAAATCCCCTCAACTCATAGCTGGCTTTTTATTTTATTGTATTACTTTTTATTACTGGGGTGACACTGGTTCAACACTATATATGATTCAGGGGAATAGGTTCACACCCCCTCAGATGTACATCACCACAACACAGCCACCACCAGACCACAGATATCCCTTCACTATATACCACTGGGCCATTTTACCTCTTTATTCTCATCACAACTTCTGTTCCAGTAGCCTCAACTCTGCAGTTATAGTTCTACTATTTGTTTTGGTTTAGGCTTGTCTATTCCTTTGTTTTATTTCTCTGTATTACATATGAGTGAGATCATCCAGTATTTCTTTCTCCCTCTGTCTTACTTCGTTTTACATAATCCCCTACAGTTCCATCTAGGTCGTTGCAAATGGCAAAATTTCATCTTTTCTTATACCTAAGTAGATTCAATCGTGAATATGTACCATATCTTCTTAATCTACTCATACGTCCTTGGGTGCTTAGGTTGTTGCCAAAACTTAGCTATAGTAAATAGTATTGCAATGAACATAGGAGTGCATATATCCCGTCAAATTAGTGTGTATGAATTCTTTGGATAAATATCTAGGAGTGGAATTGCTAGATCATATGGTATATGTTTTTTTACTATTTTGAGGGGCTTCCATACTGTTTTCCATAAGCCCTGGACCAATCTACATTCCCACCAAAAGAGTATAGGATTCCATTTGCTCCTTTTGCACAACATTTGTTGTGTCTCGATTTTTTTTGATAGGAGTCATTCACACAGGAGTGAGGTGGTATCTCATTGTTGCTTTGATTTGCATTTCCCCTGATAATAAGTGATATTGAACAATTTTTTAAGTGTCTTGTAGGCCATTTGTATATCTTCTTTGGAGAAGTGTCTATTTAGCTCTCTGCCCACTTTTGAGTGGGTTCTCTGTTTTCTTTATATTACTTGTATGAGTTCTTTGTAGATCTTAGATATCACTCCCTTGTTGAATGTATTATGTGCAAATATTTTCTCCCAGTTGGGGAATGTATTTTCATTTTAATGATAGTTTCATTCACTGTGCAGAAGCTTTTTAGTTTGAAGTAGTCCCAGTTGTTTGTTTGTTTTGACTATTACAAAAGTTTATTTAAAAAAAGTTCTGTAAGAAAATGTACATAACCCAATTTTTATATCATAGTAAAAAGAAGCTGTGCAGAGAGGACATATGGAAGTGGCTGATTTCTCTGGCAAACACAGCCACTGCTTATACTTGTTCCAAGACTTCTAACATGATAATACTATTTCCTTGTATTACCACCATTCCACTACTGTTCTGTTGCCCACTAGTTGCCATCTCCACACATTTATCTATCACAAGATTCATAAAGGGATCAAATCCCCCTGGTACTCCTTGGAAATGTCTGCCACCATTTAATTTCAATGATAACTTTTTGCCCATAAATTTTTTCAACTCAGGAAGGTGACCTTTGCTCATGGTGTCTACTCCACGAGCTCAAAGATGCCTCCAGACAAAATTTGTGGCCTCCCCCTCCCATCCAATTGTTTATTTTTTATTTTCCTTATAGCTGGTTTTTATTTCTCTTCATTCTGGTGCAGATCAGTGTCATTCTTTATCACTTAAACTTTGTCTTTCTTTTATTTTTCCAGACTATTGTGTTTGTAGCAGGCAAAGAATATCCATGAGCTCAGTCCACCACATTGATAGAATCCCTTGCTTTATAATGAAGGAAAAATAATAGTTTACCAAAATATAGGAATGTAATGATGACTTATGAGTAATACATTGAATCAGGTTGAGAGTAAACTAATTGGGGAATGCTACCTAGATCTTTCTTCATTCAATATTTACTCAGTATGTACTATGTGAGATGCTAGAAACTGTTCTACACCTTGGAGATACAAAGATAAATAAAATAGAATTTCTTTCCTTAAGGAATTCATAATCTGTCAAAGAGAATGATATAGAACAAATAGAATGCAGTGAGATAAAAGCTAAAAAAAGTATTTGTAATTGCTTTGGAACATTTTAGTAAAATGCAGTATAATTATTTTTGCCTTTCAGAGTTAGAGATGTGATAAGAGTGTATGATATTTCTAAAAGATCTTATACTCAATAGAACAAAGGAAAACTCACAAAACAAAAGGAAAGAATGATATTTAAGGCAAGGGCAAACCATATATTGATGCCATATATTGATTTGCGTAGGGAATTAGGAATAAGTAAAAAAGTGATGGCAGATGAATTTAGATGACTAGGCACAGGTAATTGCATTTTATTCTGTAGGCAAATGATTTGTTGCTTTTGTAAATTAGGAGGATGACATCAGTGTTATCTTCCTAAAGATGTAAGTTGCTGAGAGAAATGCTTGACACAGAGGGTCAAGGGAGGCCTGTTGTGCCCAGTCCGGTCAGTGATGATGGATTTTGAAAATTAAGAGAAGTGAAGAGAAAGGATAAGTAGATTTCAGAAGTGGGGGACTTTAAAAGAAAGTTGCAGAGTTAGGATAAACAGAGGACAGAAAGGTGATTAAAAAAACCAAAATTTATTGAGCACTGACACCAAGTCAGGCATTTTACCAACTTCCCTTAACTCTCACAATTCTGTAAAAATAAGTGATGGAGTTAAGACAGACTCAGACAAGTTATGAACATTCCAGCATCAAACCTGTGAGCTGTAAGCCAGTATGGTCTGACTTACAAGCTGGTTTTCTACTCCTTTGTTACTCCACTGTAGGGATTTTTTTTTTTTTTTAATTCTAATCATTTTTTTTTTTCATGGAAGTCTAGCTCATAGTTTAATAAAGTGAAATGATGAGCAATTCAACAGTCTCTAAATAACTATAATTTGAAACTTCAAATTACTTCTCAACTGTAAGTTAATTAAATCTTCCAAGACTGGCCCTCTAAAGTTGAAAAGAACTTGGCATGTGTTACATGTCATTAGGCTATATCTATCTTTGCAATGTGATGATTCTGCACCCCAAATTTTCTATTGATGTCAGTGTGTGATTTGATAGAGTTTTGGGGCTAGAAGGGATAATTAATCCCAAACCTTCTGGTGAAATTTATCAGAAGCTAATTCACAATCTGTATCCTCAGCACTAAGCTAGTTCATTTTTCAAAAAACAGTGATCACTCAGGAATATCTGACAAATACTGTGTCACTACACATGGAAGCCAATCACAATTATTGATGGATCAGTTATTGCAGGAAGTCATTTTGGACCTTCAAAAGAAAGGTTTTCTTTAAGTCAGTACAGAAGATTTGATTATAATAAGCAGAACAGAATACTATCCCTAACTAGTTCTGCAAGCTAGATTCTTCCCTTTTTCCCCACTCTAAACTCATATACATTCTTTCCTTTTTCCTTCAAAACACTAATGATGGGAACTTAAAAAATACTGCCATGAACCTCAGTTTCTAGGCTTACCCCACCTATGCTTTACACATAGGTTAAATTATGATTTGTGGGTCAGAGGTAAAGGGAGTCTGCCATGGTGGTTTCGAAGACAAATGTTAGAACTGGATTGCCTGGATTTAAATCCTTGTTCTGATACTCACTTGTTATGTGATCCTAGGGTACTTAGCAAGTTACTTATTAACTATAAATTAAGAATAATAAGATCTACATCTCATGGGACTGTTTGAAAATTAAACTGTATGCAAATAACTTGGAATAGAGCCTGGAAAATAGGAAGCCTACATAGTGTTTATTAGCACTGGCATTACTGATATTTATAAGCAATAACTTCTATTTCAGTGTGTTAGAGTGATTGTTATTAAATTTAGAAAATAAAATATTTGCTATCTTATTTCCAGTAAGCAAAATTTTTAGTACACTAAGAACAGGCAGTCTCTTTTATGCTTTCCCATTATGGTGTTTCGCACCCATTTTGTTGTGTAAATCTTTCAAATAGAATTTAAAACTGAAACATAAGTTCTAAAACTGCTATCTAAATTGAATATGGCTTTTGTGCTTTTAAAAATGTATTTTCTTTGTTACATTGGAAATTTGGTACATCTACAATCTTCCTGGTTTAAGTAATCTTTAGAAAATTAAAATGACAAGAAAGGTGGGATTAACCAGATTTATGGTTCTCAAAGGAAAGTTGTGAACAGCTTTCAAATGGCAGATGTAGCTATTTTAATGGATAGCCCAGACTGGTCCATAAGCCTGCCCAGTGTTGCACTGTCCCATAGACAGCCACTTAAATAATGTAATGGCATGAAAATGGTTCTGGTAAAGAATTCTTTGAAACAAACTGCAATGACTTATTGTTTGGAGCTGTCTAAAATGCCATCATCATCCTAATGGCCCATGGTCAGAACATTTTTCTTCAGATGTTTTATTTCTTCCTCTGGCTCCCCTTTATCTGTTGAAATTTTCTTTTTTTTTATCTGCATATTTTTAGTAACACAAATCAGGCTTAAGTTTCATTCACATCATCTAGCCTCCCCTAAATTCTTTGCCCTTCTTTTTTGGCTTTAGATCAAGAGACATCCTGTCTTCTAATCTCATCCTTTGTGAGTTGGTTTTAGTAAGATTTAGGGTAACCTTATCTTCAGGTTCAGAGGGCTACTTGACAGAAGGATTAACAGCACAAAGACTCAGTGGTGAGAGGCCTGTGGCATTGAATTTGAGAAGACACGTATACATTTAGCAGTCCCTTATATAAGGCACAGCATGTTGTATAATGTGCCGTGCTTTATAGCTATAGTAATGGTAGCGTAACTAGATGTATCACAAAAGCACCACACTTCCTTATTGATGTCCATGGCAGATGATGCTAATTGATCATGGCAACCTTGCTGTCCTTCTGAACAGTCACTGTAGACAGTCACTGCCAGTCTTTTGATGTTGGGTCTTAAGATGAAACCTATTTGCCATCCAGGATATGATTTTTGCAAAAGACAAAAAGTGTTCTTCAAATGGGTTTTTCTTATATTGATTCTCCTTAAAAAAGAAAGAAAAACAAGAGGACAAAGCTTTAAATCTCAACATTTCTTTAGGGAGGAAATATAATATGGTTCAAAATATCAGACATCTCAAGCAAGACTTTGGCAATGCTGAATTCAGTCTGTTCATAGATTGGCAGCCTAAAGTGCTGAAACTCAGTGCTATTCCTTAAGATGAGATCAATATACTTCAGTAACAGACTGGAAACAGAGTTGACATTCTCTTACAGAATTTCAGAACCTGAATTTCATATTTCTCAGGCTGAGCGCTTTCCTTCTTTCGTGCAATGGTGGGTGAAAAGGGGCGACTCATTTCTCAAGAGCTTTGATTATGCTCAAGCTCTTGGATAACTTCTTTGTTGTGCCATCAAAGTCCTAGAATATGAACAAAGTTTACTTAATAATGACAGCCAATACATAAAGCACATAAATGCCTTATTTTGGCCATGCTCAGTACTCTTAGACAACATCACTTTTCATTCTCTTGGCAATTCTCTGAGGTAGGGCATACTTTCATGCCTAGGGAAAAGGTGAGGAAATTGAGAAGAGGGAGCCCTAACTTGCCCAAAGCCCTCCAGCTATCAAGTAGCAGAACTGAGGCTTTTGTCCAAGGCAGTCTGACTGCAGACTCTGCTCTCCTGACTTCCACAGGAGCCCTCTTTCCTTGAACTGCAGATTTTCTAATTCTTCTTGTTTGATGGATCATATCATCTAGTCTGTTTCTAGCTCCAAAGAAGGAAGATCTTTGATCATGTGAGATTTTCTCGGTTAGTACATTCTAGAATATTAGTCTGGGGTTGAGGTATCTGGTGAATCATAGCCTCACCATCACTAGCAGGAGTAAGGAACCCTGGTTAAGCCGAGGCTTGAAGAGTACATCAAGAATGCTTCAGGACCTGATGAGAGTGAATAGTTCTGAGTTTAGCCAAGAGGAGGCTGGGGTTGATAAGAACTAAAAGCCAGAAGAGTACTTTTCTAGTGAAGTCAGCCATGTTTCTTTAAATGTTGTCTTTGAACCACCTGCATTAAAAGTTAATACATCCCAAGTCCAAAAAATATCTCCTCCATATTGTTTTGTTTTGATTATCAAAATAAATACATTTGAGCTATGTAAGCTTATCAACTATGTGTTAATTAGATTGCTTTTCTTTGCAACCTGAGAAACTAGAAATAGGGAGAAGTCTTTGGCTTCTGAAACTTAGAAGACAGGAAGTTGGAAGGTAAGGGTGGGAGGATATTACAATTCCAGGGAGTGAGGAAGCCAGAAGGTGCATAAGAACACGGGGAACCTGGAAGAGGGAATAGGAAGGTAAATGTTAGGGCTTGTCTTCCTTTTTTTTCTCCTTACTCTACCCCAGAACAAAGAGCTGTTCAGGACTTGGTGCTCTCTAACCTATGTCCAGACCTTTTCTTCTTGGGTTCCATCAATTTTAGAGAGGAACTACCTTTGCCTTTCCCCACTCAGTTCCTGAGAGGAAGAGGCTGAGTTTTCCCCAGGGCCTCCCTGGTGGTACAGG